GTTAAGAAAACCAATAAAACAGATTTACTTTACTCAAGTTAGTGGTGTACTCTTGTTTGAAAGCTACTTTAATTGGCTACGAAGCCAAATATGGCATGCAGTCTTTACTAATAGCAGCAGGAGCCTTAATATGACGTAATCGGCAGAAAGGCATTCCTGGTAGGGAGTGCTTGTAATACTTCAACGGACGTCAAATCTAAACAGAAAACTGAAACAGAAATCGATAGGGACTATTGTTTTGTAGGCTAGAAATTGATGACAACAACTATACTCAACAGCAAAAGCAAATGTTTAAGGACGTAAATCTTATCAACAAGTCATCTTGGCATTAGCTCTGATCAGTGAACTTTTCTGATGGCAAAAAAACTGACCTTATGTGGCGATTTTCTCATCATACAATGTTTTTTTATTATAAAATTTGCTGGACTGCTTTTAATTACTACTGTATTTAATTGAAATAGACAGATTTTAAGATAGTTAATTATTGATGAATCATAAAAGGTTATTCATCTGAAAAAGACCAGCCAACAGCATCCCTCAATGAAGCATGTGGTGAAAGTGGAAAGAAACAACTCAATTTTAATAGGAGGAGACCCCTAACAGATCAGAACAAGGATTGGTGTTGCTGACTATCTGCTGATTTGATGGAGGTAAAACTGTACGCCAGCCACACATGACATATCTACATAAACCGGCATGTATTTTGGAGCCAAAGTGTGCACAGCAGACTGGTTATCATTAGTTGTACTCTGCATTCAGAGAGAATCAGCTTCAGTCTCTACGAAGTCATGAGCAGTGGTGCCAGTGGCCATGTGAGCATGGAAAAAGCAGATGGTAACACTCTAAAGTGGGGAGCTTCTTTAAAGTAAGTGATGACATGCAATTCTTTTATGGTGATCAGGAATTACATGGCAGCAGTGGAACTACATACATATGTGAAGTTCTCATGCAACATGAAGCATTCGAGGCCTGCAATTCCTTAATCTGCTGATGACTTTAAATATTGATGACAAAGACATGTGGCAAGAAAACAACCTCTCCTCTTCTTTAGAACATTGTACTGGAGCCAGTCTAGAAAGACAATAAAAGGGCAGAAAGCTGCACAAAGCTCAGCTCACATAAACTATCAAAGTAAGACACTGCAGCAGGTTTCCTGTTGCTTTGCAAAGCACGTGAGAGAGAACTTTGCCTTAGGAACCACCTCTTAATCATCTTCTGTTTCTTGGCAGAGAGAAATCTGTAAAAACACAAGGCCCTTTCAGAAGCCCCAAGGATAGAAGGCCTGTTGCCATGAAGTCATATCTGTTGGCAAGCTTCCCTGGGTCTGAGTTACTTGCAGAGAGCCAACAAAGCACATACCACCCCCTGTGCCTTACAATCCAAGCAACAAGAATCCCAGCACAAGGAGAAAACATGAATTAATGTACTGCTGGGACAGCAAAGGTTGTTGTTCAAAAGGGAAGACGTCATACAGATTGCAAAGAATTCACCCTGCCTTTGTTTAACTTTCCTGGTCAATAATCAGCAGGCAGCAGCTCTCGTGACCTCCTGAGGGAGCTCCTCCTCCTCCTCAGCTGGTATAGTACAGAGCCTGCAAAAAATACCTAGGGATTTTACAGTGTCCACAAAGAAACTGGACACATCAAGGAGTAAAGAGTAGGCAGCCCAGAGGATCCATCAGAGGAGTCTTTTGATAAGGAACTCAGGCAAAGCTTAACAAAAGCCATCCATCTATTCCTTTAGAATACCTGGTTGGAGAGGTGGTAGTGCCAAGGCAGGGACACCCTGGAAAGGTCATAGGGCCATAACAAAACCATGCATGCAAACCCACCTGAGGGCATTACAGGGTCAGTGTTGTGCATGAATGCATTCAATGAACGGTGTTTACTGAATATGTTCATAGTTTTGGTGAACGGTGAACGGACCGCTTTTGAAGTGATGAACTTGAATGAGATAAGTTCCTGAGAATGTAGCGACACACACAGCTTATGTTTGGGATCAATTGATAACGACACTTTCCATTGGATATCAACAGGTTTTAGGGCACATACTACGGCAAAAAGGTGTCATACTTGAGTGTCCAATATCAAATACAGACTGAGTTCAATGACCTGAGGCAAAATGTAACAAAAATGATGTGTAAACTTGCCACCACCAAACTTTTCAGCTTCAACCCACAATTAAAACAGAGGTTAGCCCTTGTACCTGTTGAGCAGAGTGCATAGTCAATCAGATGTGGCATTTATCCCATGATGCATCATTGACCATTAAATGGTTTTAATGTTACATAATACTTATAAGATCGCTTTCAAAACTCCAGAACATGTTGATTCATGATCACAAGTGAGGTCCTAACTCCAATTTAGAAAACCATAGGCTCAATCCCAATCAGCAAAGTCGGTATGGACATTTAAGTTCAAATGCATCAGTGGTTGCCATGATAACTGCTGTCCAACTAGGCTGGCAATAAGGAAGGATTAGGAAGCAGGATGTTTCCTATCAATAGAACATACAGTTTTCTACAATCCTTTGTGTGACAGTATGCATAAGCACAGCACACTTCACAGAGTGCAACAAAAACTACATATTTCCATGTGTACTCTGGGTGACACATGCTAATGTATACACTTCCATGTGTTTTTTTATGGAGCTTCAGCTGTTTGCTACATTTGTGTTACTTTTGTTTTTTGAAGTTTTTTGTAAGACTAGTCCCAATTTTACTGGCATCATTAATCCAGTAATTACACAGGGAAGGGGTAGGGCTGTCCAAATACACCACAGCTTTTTGGACTACCTTTTCGACTCTGGTTAGTGTTCTTACTCTTGTCTTACTGTGAAAATGGAATGGGAGCTAGGGACATAAAGCATCAGCCATGAATCTATGGTTAAGGCAGGACTTTCACTGATTTATAAAAGTTGGCCAACTTGATATGATTGGCTGACCAACTTTCAGCAACTCTGCATGCGAGATTTTTGGACAGGGCACATTGTACTTGTTAATTTCTTTGGGCAAATAAATGTTTACTGTAGGGCAGACGCAAAAATATATCAATGGACTTTCTGTATTTATTTGTGAAGAGATTCAGTAAAGGGTTAAGGGAAGGGCTAAATTAGGCTGAATCTTGGTCTCTGAATCTTTTTTGGGGGAGTATTATTTCCCTTGTGGTTGATCTCCAAGAAAATTCTGTAAAAATTGGATGCATCTTCAAGAAGCTGTTCCCTTAGGTCAGGCCAATGGTAATTCTCATGTACTGTATGTAACTTGCATGTGATGTTAAACTATGTGTAGTGAACTCAGGGGGACCCCTGCTTATTGGCCCGATTGTCGACAAGTTAGCTTTTGCAGCAAAGAGGTGATGTTTAGGGCTGGGAACGTAGCGTGCCCATGGATTGTCCTCAGGAGCATTTAGACATTGAGGTCTCTGAGAGAAAAACTGCCTGAGTTGTCATCACCACCAACCCACAATGCACACACAGACTCCACACAGCCCCGCCCAAGTCGATCTCAAGCACCAACACACACACACAGAGTGCTGACAGGGAGCTCTGCCTTCACATTATGTCAGATAGCGATCGATGCTTTGCACAACATCAGCTTATATTTAGAACGACAACAGTCGTCCACTGAACACCTTTGGTTGCAAGAGTCATCAAGTCCACAGCCTGATAAGTGTCAGCTCGGCCCGATTGTCAGCCGAACCTTTGTGCTTACCAACGGTTTGGATCCAGTTTCTAAACTGATGAAACTCCTGAGACAGCGGAGCAGAAATACCTTAAATCATTCAAGACAAATGGCTCCATCTCTCAGTCTGCTGCTTTTCTCTCACGCACGCAGATTTAGTGGTAATCCGACTCTAAACAGCACTGCAGGGGTGGCCTGCAAAACCCAATCTGTATCAATTCTGCAGCATCTCATTCCTCCCCATTAAAGCCACATGAGCCCGCGCCATGGAGGACACTGGTTAGATGGCTTTGTGAGAATTAAAGGTAATTATTGGCAGAAGGAGCTCACTTTAGATGCAGACACACAAGTCTGAACAATCAAACGTTAAAACGACCACATGTGTCACGTTACGCTGCAGACAACAAAAGTCTTTCAATAGAGCTTCATCCATGATCACTTCCACCCTAAATTATTCATGGAGCAGGGCTGAATCAAGGCTGTAATGGGTCCACAGCAAAATCTGATTTGGGGATCCCCTTCCAGTTAAGCTTATCACCTAGTAACCATAAGGCTGTCTTTCCACCCTTCAATATTAAATGTATAATTTTTGAGTAACTTTTGAATCAAGTTATTAAGTTAAATCAGTTATGCTGTTTGCATGGCTGCAATAATGAAACAAAAATACTGACTTTTTTTTGCATATCAAGGTTTCTACAGTTAAAGGCACAACATGCAAATTTGATTAGTGCTTTATCTTATCTTAAAAAAGTGTATTTCTCCACTGTGAGATCAATAAAGTCTATATATAGGGGAATATCAGTATTTACTTTTAACTAAATTATTTTTTAAAGTATTTCATTTTCTGAGCCATAAATCAAATATTAGGATTTAACATTTAAAATGTTTTAATTTTAAGCCAAAGCAGAGTTTAATATGGATCAATAAGTTGTAACTTGATTAGGCAGTGATCAAGGAAAGAAAAGAATAAACTCCTCAACTGGATGAATTATGATTGGAAGCTCATAGATAATTGATTATTTTCCCTAAGTGGAAGGAGAGTTAAGCTCCAGTTCTACTTCGCAGCTCAGATCGCTCTGATCTTTGTCACCAGGAGCGGATCTTCTGCAGCTGAACCAAAGATGCGCTCCTCTCTGTCCTGCATAAGGTGCGTCTCTGGCTGTGAAATAAGCTCCGGGTTGCTCTGCAAGTGAGCAGAAGTTAATCAGCTGCTCATTAAACCATAGATCAGAGAAACACCTAGAAATGCTCAGAAACTGATCATACAGAACTCCTGGATGTCCCGCAGAGGTGTCCCTGCAGCCGGAGCTTGCCTTACCTCTGGGCGCGGCGGCAGGTTTGTAGCCCTTCTCGTTGGTGCAAACTCCCCGGCCGTGCAGCAGGGCGTGCAGGGGCTTCTCCTCTCCGCTCCTTGGCAGGCATCTCAGGCCCTTGGTGCAGGTGCCGGTGTAGACGCCGCACGCCTGCCCCTCGGCCAGGGCGCAGGTCAGGCAGCAGCCGCAGCCCGGCTCCTTCACCAGCTGGCAGCCGACCGGAACCGGCGGGCACATGGACAGCGCCTTCTCATCGCAAGGTTCGCAGGGGACGTAGGATCCCGTGCAACGGGAGAGCCCCAGGATGAATGTCACCAGGAGGCAGCAGTTTACAAACATCGCCGGAGTCTCTTCAGATCGCTGCAAAAAAAATTCTGAAACACCAGGAGAAGAAGGGGGAAAAACTGCTCCTGGTCTAATGAACACAATGTCTCAGTCAGATAATCCGATTTTTACAGTTAAAGCCAAGCGTCTTTATCCAGGAGTGCAGCTATCTAATAAATACCCACATTAACAGCAGGCTTTCTTACTGTAGAATCTTTTTAATTTGTAATAATTCAAATAGTTATTTTTTCTGTGGATGTAAAGTCCTCCGCAGGAGGAAAAACGAGCAGAAAAAGCTGAACTTCTGTCCTCTTATGTTGAACTCCTGCAGACTTTCTCTAGCACCAGTTTCCTGAGCAGACTGATCAACTGGAGACCTGCCTTGCCTTTTTAAAACAACCGTGCCCAAAACCCCGGACCATGAATACCCTGAGCAGCCGGAGAGGGAGGCGCACTTGTTCCAGGCTTGGACGCTTGCCAAAAGTTTTTTTTTTTTCTTTCCCTTCCAGCAGTAGGAGGAGGATCACAGTTTCACCCCGAAGGCTGAACTGATGCGACAAGGAGCTGAAGAGCTTCTGCAAAACTTGCAGGTCGTCCACATGCTGATTTGAAACCATTTCAGAAGCATGAGGCTTTCCTTTTTTTACCTTTGCGCGTAAAACGGAGAGAAAGAAGTGGATCTGATTTCCCCTTAGTCAAAAAACTGTTTTCTGTTATCCAAAATCCCCTGTTGATGCAACCGAATGCGTCACACTTCTCTTTGTCATCACATGAGTGGAATATCCCCTATAAGTGAAAGGAAAAGTATAATTTAATTTGCGCAAAAAAAAGCATTAATCTTGATCTGAATCTGAATCTGTCACTCAATTTTCTAATAGGTGCTTCCCAGCTCCTTCCTCCCCCCCTGTTGCTGTTTAGGTAACCCTGACAGATCGTGTGGAAGTCATCACTAAACTCCGCAGCACCTGTTGCTTCCATTTGAGCCGAGGAAACAGGTTCTGCTACTGGCTGCTTTACGCACAGAGGACAGGCAGTTAGTGCAAAGCTGTGAGAGGAGATGTGTTGTAATAGTCTCCCTGTATGCATGGAGCTTAAACCCCCTGATTACTGCAGCGTGTTTTCCTTCTGGGACATGAACAAGATGCCGCACATCTCTGTCCAAACTGTATAGCAAAGCTTTATTCCTGTAATGCAACCTGAAGTAAATATTTAACGTTCAAGCCTCCCTTCTAATACATGTTTTAAAGTTGGATGGTGTTATAATTCCCTCAGATTAGGAGTCAACCACTAGAAGGCGCTGTTAACAATGGTATGATCACTTCTGCATTCCTTAAATATGACAGTTTTATCACAACCCTTAACTCTGAGTTGAAGCTGTAATCCAGGCTCTGCTGAGAGAATAACAAAAAAAAAAGTTTTTCAGTGGAATCACTGACTGGATGATGAACTAATTTCACTTTTGTTTGGGAGAGCTCTGCTAATTGTGGTTTCCTTTCATAAATGGGACATATATACAAAGTTTTCCCTTCAGCTGTTTCTCAGTCAAACCCTTCATGAGTGTCACTGACATATCTGCACATTTTTCTCTTTTTTTTTTTCCTCAGGGTTCCCTCCCAATCCTCTGTCTCCGATGTCCCCTCCCAGGTCTTTTCTTCTGAGCAGAAAGATTTGAGTGAAACTCTTTTGTTGGAGAGACAGATTGGGAACTTTTAGTCACAAATGAGTCCAGGAGGTCCAACACAAAACGAAAAATCAACAAAACAAAAAAAAAAGTAGTTTCCAGAAACTAAGAGGCGTGGCAGATTCCTCAGAAACCTAAATCGGGTGATAATGAAGAGATTAGGACAATAAAGCAGCAGGGCTTAATGATGCATCTCTGCATGGCGTTGATGACAAATTACCAAGGAAAATATTCCCCACCTAAAGGATGTGCATTGTGCCTGTTTTGACCACTGAAGGAACTCAATGTTCCAGCTCTTTTCTTCCCCTTTGCTCCCATTCTTTGCTCAATGCAAATCCTAATTCCCCTCGGATCTATTCATGCATCAATCCATCTGTTCCTCCCTTGGAGTCGGCACCACCCTCCACCTCCTCCTCCTTCTTCAGGCATCCTTCTGGCTTAAAGGAGCTCCAGCAAGGTTTTGCGCTGCTCAAAAGTGCAAACTCATGTCTGAATGTCTTCTCTGGGTGGTGTTGCGATCTCATTGCCAGAGGTCTCATCACCAAGCACTGCAGATTTACAGACTGATTCCTAGCTGCTGTAGCCCAGGGATAGAGAGAGGTTAACTTGGATTTTTCCTCCAGGAAAAATAAAGAAAGAGTAAGTTATGGTCATCCTAGTAGATTTGCTTGATTCCACCAGCAGGACTTAGTGTAAGATGCTGCTGTTGAGTTTGGATTGCAGTAATTTTCTTGGATTTGAGTGACCGTTTCTAATCTCCATCAACATTATGTCCTGTTTTCCCGGCAGGAATATCGTCAAAACTATCACTAAACCCTCTCTGGATTCTGCCAACCCTTTCTTTGTTTTTAAAAGCCTCTGACCTGATTGGCTCCTCATCTTTGCGATCATAAATCTGTCACTATTAACTGGTCCTCTTCCCAGCCTCTTCAAACATGCTGCAGCTGAGCTCAGCTGGGATCCACTTCAGCCAAAAACCAAAAGATTCATTTCCGAACTTTTATTTCCAAAGTTTTAGAACAACTTGTTCTTGTGAAAAGCTGCTTTCTATTTTTTGGAACATCAAAGCATTTTTGATTAATTTGGTTTTCTCTAAATGCACTTCAGTGAAACTGATTTGGTTATTCAGTGACTTTACTACAGCTCCAGACTTTGGGGAGTTTAAATTTAACTGATTTTGATTGATCCTACCATGGCTTTTTATGGCAAAAGCAACACCTTTTAGAAGCACTGAAATCCGCAGCTGTCCAAATGGACAAGAGAAACGTCTTCTGAGGAAAAGTTTGAAATTAAGACAAGACAAAATTGAAATAATTTAGCTACGTTGGAAAGGCTAGGTTCCACTGTGTTTAACCCTGTCTCCTTCTTGGCCAGAGCAACTGAAGCATAGTGCATGCAGGTAGTGTGCTTGTAGTGCAGTAAATTGTTTGCACTTTGTTCTACTGGCTACTTACACTTCTCATATATTTAACTGTGCCTCTCTTTTAAATAAAGACACCAAACTAGCTACTATTGCTATTATGGCTTTGCTTTGGGATCAGCCACCTTCTAAGTAAAAGCATGCTTATAACTAAACAGTTATCTGGAAAAACATGATTTATTAAATACATGTGTGATAGCATTTTGCAGGTTTTGCTGTTGGTAAACTACAAAGACTTCTAAGAATGGCTCTAAAATAGAAACAATAAAATAGACCTTTTTCATAATCAGATAAAAAGGGCTACTCAGTGGTGTAGTGGCTAGTCCTGCTGCCTTGCATCAAGAAGGTTCTGGGTTGGATTCCCGACTCGCTGTCTTTCTGCATGGTGTTTGCATGGTCTCCCTGAGCATGCGTGGCTTCTCTCCGGGTACTACGGCTTCCTCCCAAAGTCCAAAAACATGACTGTTAGGTTCATTGGCTTCTCCAAATTCTCCTTAGATGTGAGTGTGAATGGCTGTTTGTCCTGTTTGTCTCTGTGTTGCCCTGCCAGGGAGTGGTGACCTGTCCATGGTGTACCCCGCCTCTTACCAGTAGACATTTGGAGACAGGCACCAGCACCCCTCGCGACCCTTGGGATAAGCATGACGGAAAAAATGGATGGATGGATAATGGGATGATATATTTTCAATGAATGCTCTACTAAAAAAACTAAAACAAGCCCCTTTAATGTCTTTATGTACATTAATTACACCTCATATTATTTATATTTAAAGCCAAAAAGTAATTTAAAAACTGAACTTGACTGCACTGTTATTAGTTGAGTCAAATGAACAATTTAAGATTAGATTAATCTGTTTTTTTAATATTTCTGTTTTATCTCTTCAGCTGTCATGATCAATGGTTATAGTGTGTTGCACAGGTTTCTCCAGGAAATAAACTTGATTAAACTCCTTCAATTCTGCTGAGAAAATTGGTCCTACCAGAGTGATTCCAGAATTTTGTTAGGGGCTACAAAATGTTCAAGTTGCAACATCCCAATAGACAGTCAGTTTATGTAAATATCCAAGTCTCTCTGTGTAGTTTAGACACTTAGTGGATCGTAGAAAGTCCTTAATAAACTCAAACTTGTACTCTTTGCAATAGTTTTAGGCCCCGTCCACACAAAGTCAAAACGAACACGAAACACTAATATTTTCCCGAACGTTTGTCGTAAAGACGGAGACGTAAAATAAATGTGATCGTCCACACGAATGCATGAAAACGCTGCAAAATGTATGCCAGGCCTGTAAGTGG